ACATACAGCCGTCACGTGCTGGGTACATACAGCCGTCACGTGCTGGGTACATACAGCCGTCACGTGCTGGGTACATACAGCCGTCACGTGCTGGGTACATACAGCCGTCACATGCTCACAAAGCATGCAGCTCCATAGGTAGAGGGGCCACTGATACTTTCTGTGTCTGTGTGTTTGTGCATGTTTGTGGATTAGGTTTATATTACATTGCGTTTTCCTCATAGAATGGAGAGTCCCCACAAAGATTTAATTACAAACCTGTGTGTGTTTGTGTCTGTGTGTGTATGTAAGGTAGAGCCCCCGTGCTCCTCAGAAGCCCCCATGACCTTTCTATCTGCAGGTGATCCCCAAGGACTACAAGACCATGACGGCTCTGGCCAAGGCCATATCCAAGAACGTGCTCTTCGCTCATCTCGACGACAACGAGAGGAGGTAGGCCGTCCACTCCGCTCACAGGGTCACCATGGCTCTTTCCGGAAGAGGTGAATAACAGCTGCTCGCAGTCCTGAGCTATCTTCTGGAAAGAAGTCTGCTTTCTCAAGGAATGTGGGAGTCTGTGTGGGCTTTTGACTTTATGACCACAGTAAGACCCAGCGTCCATACTTATGGTCGGGGCGGTAGAGGGGTGGGGCAGGGTGCTCACAGATGGGCAGGGAGGGGGCACTGTTGTGAAAACACTGTCGCCAATTTCCCTGGTAACTGGGGAGGCAGAGACAGATAGGCATATGGTCTGATGATGTGAAGTGCCTGTCGAGCGGCTGGCTGGGGAATCGCGTGACATGGAATGCAGCGGTTCGGTTTACTTTTTATTATTTGAGGGACTGATGAGTGTCAGGGATGTTGCCACGGCGACACAGCAATGCAGACCCCCCGACCCCCCGACCCCCCGGAACTGACTGAACCACGGTGCCAGGCTGTGGGAAACACCGCTCAGGTGTGTCCATCTGCGGAGGAGTCCAGTTTCACCGCTGAGGAGAATCCATTTGTGCAGCTGAGCACAGCATGGAGGGAAGAGCCAGGAGCCGCCTAGAGAAGGGGGAGGTGGGGGAGGCCTGGGGGCGGGGGGGGGGGGGGGGGGGGGGGGGGGGGGGGGGGGGGGGGGGGGGGGGGGGGGAGGGGGTCATGTGGAAGCTTCCCAGAAAAAAAAGCAATTTTTTCCCATCCTTTCGTCAGCTGACAATTTACCGCACGGGTTGGGTTGCGAGGCGCTGCCCCCGCCGGCAGATTACAGCGGCGGATTCCATCGCCGTGGCGATATCGAGCACCTCGCCTGCTTGGTAAAAGCGGGCACCAGCCGGTGGGGCTTCTTGAGCACGGCAGAGCGTGGCGAACCTGCACCGCGACTCCAGATGGGTGTAAAAAGAAACGAAAAACACAGGAGCTGCGGTAAATTGGTACTTCCTGGGCATCGACCTGTATCTCGCCAGACGGGGACAGGTGGCACCCCCGTGTGACCCCCGTAGAGGGTGGCAGATGTGAGCCTGTATTTCGCTGAGCATGGCTCCCATCCAGGACAGCTGGCATATTGCGTCTCTGGTGGGCCCTGGGCTGTTGCTCCCGCTGTTTTGCCATGGCAGTATCGACGGCTGCCCGTGCCACATGATATCTAATATTCTTGCCCTATTGCCTCTGACTAGCACTCCGGGGGCTTAATTTCATCCGCAGAAATGCTTCAGTCGAGTTTTCTGGCGGCCGCCACTTGAGCGACGTGGGAGTGGACTGGGGGCACGTTCTGTACTCGCGAAGCGGAGAAGCGCAGCTTAAACACGGACCGGGCTGCGCGGGTCGGTTGGCAACAGCATGTTAGAGCCGGCCTCCCCGTGATTGGATGGCCTCCCGTCCAGGGGGTGTGAAATGGCGACGGCCGAAGCATCATGATTGGCTGGCGCGTCGCCGGGCTGCGTCCGTCCGTCGCTGTGAGTCAGCGCCCTGGCAGGCCGTGCCGTGTGAAGGAAACATCACGAATCATTACTCACTCAGCGGTTATGTAAGCTGAACAGCTCGAATTTGTTCTCCCCATTATCGCTGTATTAAATTCTCATCCCTGTAACGACTGCTGGAAAAGCAATAAGGTCGCTCTTTGTGCCTCTATGACGGGTGTGGTACCTCTTTTTACATTTTTATCCCTGCAGTGATGTCCCTCACGGAGTCCATCTCAGTGTCGGCAGCCCTGAGGGTCCCATCGCTCTGTGTTTACATCTGGCGGTGTAGTTCCAGCTTACAGGAAAACAGTATGGTCAGAGAGGTTCTGATGGCAGGTGCCTGGATGTGACGCAGCCAAGTGTCAAATTAGTGCTTGCTGCTGTTCCTTTGATTCACGTGGTTGGTCCAGTGTGGCTATCTTATTAGTCTCTGTGTGTCGGGATGGGTCGCGGGGGTTGATGTCATGCTCGTAAAGACGCGCAGCCATTTTGAAGCCCGCGGCGGCCCTCGGGTAGCATTGCCACCCGACCCACCGTAGTGGCACCGAGGCGTGGCTCTCGTTCCTACATCTTCATTGGTTGGTGCTTTGCCCTCACTAAGGGGCCATCTGGCAAAATGCCCGCAAGCACCTTATCCACCGGGACAAGGGGGCCTTGTTGCCTCTAGGCTCCTAAAGCCCCCGCCCTCACGCCCCCCCCCCCTGCCCCCAGAGCCTGCTCATTCTTCCTGCCTCTTGTCCTATAAGGATGACTCTAGGGTGGTTTCCCTGACAACTGGTCTAAGCAAAGTGCACAGGCTGAGAGTGGGAGGCGGGCAGGTGGGTACCACGGTGTTGACCCGCATCTCACTGCTGGGCTTCACTCTGCTCACCGCGCCATTGTGTCATCATGCTCTGCTCTCAGTGGTCGCAGCTGGGAGCTTCAAACGATAACAGTTACAACCATAGAAACCAGTTTGCACCTCTGTCCCCTGTGAAGGGATATTAGCTGAATGTTAGTTGGTGCCCATTGTGTTATTTTACTACGATTGATTCACTAATCGGATGTCTTTGGGCAGGAGACGTTTGCGGTTTCTCGCACACAGTCTGAAGGTGCCTACTATACTCTCTGATATGTCAGCACTATACTGCTATAACCCTCTCACTGCAACAGTGCTGTAACCCTCTCACTGCCTCACTGTCATAGTACTGTAACCCTCTCCCTGTCTCACTCTCATAGTACTGTAACCCTCTCCCTGTCTCACTGCCATAGTGCTGTATCCCTGTCACTGTCATAGTACTGTAACGCTCTCTTTGTCTCACTGCTGTAATTCCCACTCAGTCCCTTTGCTGTAATCCTCTCTCTGTCTCACTACCGTAATCTTCTCCCTATCTCACTGCAGTAATCATCCCCTGTCTCTCTGCCATAATTTTCTCCAAGTGACACTGCTATAATCCTCTTCCTGTCTTACTGCCATAATCCTCCCTGTCTCATTATTGTAATCCTTTCCCTGTCTCACTGTCGTAATTGTCTCCCTTTGTCGCTGCTGTAATTCTCTCACTCTCCTTGCTATAATCCTTTCCCTGTCTCATTGATGTAATCCTCCCCGTCTCACTGCTGTAATACTCTAGCTGTCTCACTACCGTAACTCACTTGTTCCTGTCTCACTGCTGTAATCTTCCTTGTCTCACTGTCATAATCCTCTCCCTGTCTCACTGTTGTAATATTCTCTCTGTCTCACTGTTTTAATTCTCTTCCTGTCACATTGTCATAATCCTCTCACTGTCTCACTGCCCCAGTCATCTTACTGTCTCACTGTCATAAATATTTTCACTGCCATAGTGCCGTAATCCTCTCCCTGTCTCACTGCCACAATTCCCTTATAGCCCCACTGCCGTAACCCTATCTGCTGCATAATCATAATGGCCTGCTTTCCATGCAGACGTTTTCTGTGTGGTCTCACCTGTACCCTGTAGGTACACGCTCGCACACGCGCTCACATAAACGCACACCTGAGGCATAGGTGTGATTGTGCAGGTAGGTCTTTGATAGAAGCTCTTCATGGCTGCTTGTTTTGCCCGCTCGCGGTCTCTTATCTTCACACGGAGCCATTAGCGGGTAGTCCCAATTGTTCTTCCAGATTCTTTGTTTTTGTTGCTTTTAAAAACGGCTGCACTTGTGATAAGATTAAACAAGGGGCTCAGATAATCCCAAAGTGGTTGCAGCTGTGAGACATCGTGGGGTTGAGGGGGCGGGAGCTGTGGTGGTCCTCAGTGAGGCCCAGGTGGGCCCAGATGTACTTGATTTCTTGGTCTATCTCACCACGATCTCCTTGCTGAAGGTGGCCAGCACAATGCTTGCCAAAAACAGAGGAGTCCGATAAACCCGTTATCAGAAGTTCACACGGCGGCATGTTTGTTTTGCTGGATTAGCTTTTTTAAAAAATCTCACTTCCTGCTGTCCTGATACGGCACACCTGAGCCGTCGCATAAAAGATACTGTGACCATTATATCGCATTACATCACCCAGGCTGTGGTCCAGCCGCCCAGTGTTAAGCTGATAACGGCCTTAATGCTGCTGCTCTGCACTGGAGACTCACTTGGAGGCTGAGCCTGAGCTTCCGCATTCCGGCAATGAAAGATGGTGGGAAATTTCGGGAAGATGAGGAGGGACTCTGTATAAGGTCAGAGGTATAAGAACCAGTTGATGGGGGGAAGGTGGGGGGTCGCTTTCTTTGATTTAAGCTGGAATAGGATGTGAGGTCGGAGGATGAGTTGTCATCACTCCTCAATATTCTGGTTTATCATCCCCAGTCAGTGAGTGAGTGTGTGTTGGGGGGGGGGGGGAACTGGGGGGTTTGTGAGTCTGGGAGCCAGAACTATCTATTCCGGCTTCTTCCCGTTTTTCTCAGTCCAAGCCCAGGAGTCTTGTTTTTTTCCCCTCTCCCTTCTCCCATGATGCCCCATGGCACCCGGTTCCCCCCCGGTGGCGGAAGCAGTCTGTGGAAAAAGGAGGTGGGAGCTTTTCTCACAGTCCGCCGTTACGGGATGAGTCATACACGAGGCCCCAGGAGTCGTGACTCATTTCTGGCAAACCGGCGACCGTCCCATTAATGTCACGTCGAGGACAACAATAGCCGTGTTTAATACCCCCGTACACATCCGAGTATGTGTGGAATTTTTGGAACAAAGCTGGAAGCTTTAATCCTCCAATTAAGGGCACAAATTGAGGAGCTGATGAAGCCCAGGGGAGTGTGGGAAGCCTCCTAACCTCTGACCCCTGTCACCTCTGACCCTGTCACCTCTGGCCCTCACTGACGGACAGTGGACATCTTGCTTGTGCGGCAGTCCTGGCTTTAAGTGTGTGTGCGGTGGTGTTATCTGATGGTAACGGACTTGTGGTAGATGTGAGTTCAGGTTCTGTTCCGGATGGGCTTGTGTCAGAACTTTCGAAGTTTACGGGGAAGTTAACTCCTGTGCGACCTGCCGCGGGTCATGCCTCCTGCCACACATGCGGACAGTATCACCCGA